TTTTTTTTTTTTTTAACTATGGACACTACAACAGACTGCCTTTGTCTATCACAGTAAGCCACTCCTAAACTTTTAACCATTATTTATTTTAGTATTTGATGAATGCTTTATAAGAAACTTACCACTCAGTTGTATAATTTTTTTGACATTTTTGTTATTCCACACACTACATTGAGGTACATATGTTTCAGTGGGATAAAGTAACTTACTTTTAATTAGTACTAAATAATTAAAGAAATGGAGAGAATTAATAGGGCAAAGACAGACTAGTTATTCAAGATAAGAGTCTATTTAAACAGAAAGATACTAAGCCATAGACTGATTAGAAAATATTATAAATGTAATCAGATGATTGCTAAACATTAGCTGAGTTGGCTTTAACCTTGCATTTATTGAAAACATTACATTTTCCCTAACACTCAGGCAGTAGTATTATATTCCTATAAGCACTACTCCCTGGTATATTCAAATTAATTAGCTTTGCAAAGTCAAATAGGTTCTTCTAAGCCATAGGGGACAGAAATTGTGTTGAAAGCCAATGATTTCAACTCAATAACTAGGCTCCTACACCTTAGAAAGCAGCAAAGGACTAAGCACATAAAGTTAAGCCAGAAATCATATATTAGGGAAGAATGACCAGTGATGTTAGTATTTTCCCTACAAAGAGGAAAACTAGTACTGGGAAGAAACTTGGAAGGAAGAGGAAGTGCTGAGAACAGACCTAATGGGTCACCTCTCTGGACTGTTTCAAATTACATTTGGACCAGAGAAGGGAATCCCAAAGCACAACATCCAAAACAACAATATAGGAAAACACCCTTTTGTTCCCCCTAATCCTCTGGGAGGTATATAGAATTACTGGAGAGAAGGCAGTGATCCTAGAGCACTTGAAATCAGGACAGGAAGGATGCACAAACCTGGTACAGAAAAGCAAAAAGGGCACAGAAGATGTGGACAGGTTATGATAAATCAAGTCTGACAGACATAAATTGCAACACTCATCAGATAGCAGTCTTGGTGGGTACTATTGACAATGAGCAAGATGTGTCACCCATGGTGCCATGATATAAGTAACCACGCTGGCCAACGTTCCCCAGCCTATAACTGTCTGGGGAGAAGATGAACAAGGAAGAGGAAGAATCTGGAACTGAGTGAGCTTTGTCCTCAAAGACTAAGTTTTAAAACAGAAGTGTTTGAGTTACTTTGAATTATTACAGAAAAAATAAATTTTCTCCCACTGCATAAAAATAGATGCTTGAGAGGTGAACTTATACATTTTTTTCAAAGCTGTAATTTTGTTCACCTCAGTGTCATGACTCAAAATGTCAAGAATGGTAGGCAATGTTGAACAAAGAAGATCAGAAAATGACGCTGTAGGATTAAAATATAATACATGCTATTTTTAGTCAGTTCAAAAAGTTGATCACAGACTGGATCTTCATTTGCTTGCTGTTACAGAACTTGTATGACCAAGAGATCCCTGGAGTCCAATCCCATGACTCTTGCAGACCTTCTAGAAATCTCAATATTTGAGTGTCATGTCATACAATTATGAAATGAATCCACTAAAAGCTTTTGGTAACATCAATACCATTAATATCATTACAATACATGTAATAAATTCACCAACTAGTTGGTTTGCCTCAGTTAATATAGTTCTCAATTTTTACATCAAGGTTAATGCTGATTGTTTATGAAGTTTTTCAAAAATTTTGAATTTGAAGGTTGATTTAAAACTGAAATATTAATGAGTCAACGACCTCAGAAAATCAGTGGATGGTCTATGAAGGCAGGTAAATTCTAAAGTAAACATAAAATGAAGTCTGATAATTTCCTTTTCTCTTTACTTCTCATGGCGAATCTCTGACCTAGTTCTGTTAATTCTGTCTCCTTAATACCTCTTGACCCTCTTGCTTCATTGCTGCATTAATTGCTCTGGGTCAGATTCTCATCATCTTTCACCCAAATTGCTCTAACAGTCCTAGAAACAGTCTCTGAGTGCAGGGAGGCTAAGCATTAAACCATTCTATACATCTGTGGTCTCCAACCTCTGGGCGGTGGACCGGCACCCGTCCGTGGCCTGTTAGGAACCAGGCCACACAACAGGAAGTCCGTGGAGGACGAATGAAGTTTCATCTGTATTTACACATGCTCCTCATCGCTGGCATCACTGCATAAGCTCCGCCTCCTGTCAGATCAGCAGCGGCATTAGATTCTCATGGGAGTGCGAACCCTACAGAAAACTGTGCGTGCGAGGGATCTAGGTTGCACATTCTTTATGAGAATCTAATGCCTGATGATCTGAGGTGGAGCTGAGGTGGTGATGCTAGTGCTGGGGAGTGGCTGCAAATACAGATTGTCATTTCAGAGAGGTTTGACTGCACGATAAATACAATGTGTTTGAATCACCTCCCCCCACCACCCCCGGTCCATGGAAAAATTGTCTTCCATGAAACCTGTCCCTGATGCCAAAAAGGCTGGGGACCATTGTCATACACTATGGCTAGTGACTGCTTTAAAATGCAAATCTGATCAAATAATTTACTAAAAATTACACAATAACTCCCACTTAACCTCAGAAAAAAATTTTCTTATGATGTCAATTTATTACATTTTTAAAAGGGAATTTGTTTAAGGAAAAATGGCAAAAGAAAAAAAAAACACAACTATAAAGGTTATAGAAGAATGACTGATGATTGAGGAATGACACATAAAAGGTTGAGTTTTGACAAGCAGAAAGAAGGAGAAAGCATATCCCCTGCAGAATATACAGGGATAATGAAATCTACAGAGGGACAGAGTATGAAATAGCATGGTGAAGTCAGAGAATTCTGAATAATTCTATTTGGCCAGA